AAAAGAGCTCCAGTGGTGCAGTAGTTAGATACTTGGCTGCTAACCAATAGTTAGACACTTGGCTGCTAACCAAAAGGCTTGTGGTTGGAATCTACCAGCTGATCTATGGGAAAAAGATATAGAAGTCAGTTTCTTTAAAGATCTACAGTTTTGGAAACCTTATGGGGCAGTTCTACCCTGTCCTATAGACTCACTATGAGTCAGAATTGATGAAAAGCAGTAGGTTTGGCTTTTGGTTTGGTCTTTCTCAAATGTTATTTATCTCATTTTTATAGCTACCTCTTTTGTCTATAAGAGTAACTAACCTTCTTTATGGCAGTTAAATATACTATGTTTTTTTAAAAATATTTTCCCTACAGTCCATTATCTCACATAGTGCCTTAAATCTGTGTTGAATTCAAACACTGTATCAATAAGAATAATTATAAATGTTTATACCCATTTTACTCAGGATTTGTTGTATTTATATACATACATAAACTACTGCTTAAACATAGCAAATTAAAATGCTTCTCATGCTATTTGAAATTAATTGATCAAGGTGATCACTGATTTGTTTTTTCTACCCCTTCTAAAGGAAAAGTAACATTATTTTTTATATACAAAGACAGTATTCATGTCAGTAATATTTATTAACGTATTAATTATCCATTCACATAACAAACCAACAAACTAGTATTATTCTACTCAAAGAACAATCCATAATGTTGTTGCTAATTGCTGTACAGTCAAGAAAGTGAAACCTTCCAGAAGTTAGCAGATTCCCAATCTATCTTCCATATTTATACTATGACAGAATAATGAATGGTGCTAGTTATATTGTTGTTAGTTAACCAGACAGAATATATTAATATAATCAGGACACTCTCATTTACTAATAGTTCCTCTTTGGCATTTTCTAAAAAATGCAAGAGCATTGAACCATAGGGAAGTAGAAGTGAGTTGTCAAATTTAAGGGTCTTGATATTTTCTGGCATGGAACTCAATGTACCAAAGATATGAAAAATTTCAAGAAAAATAAAGTGACAGGTCATAACTTCAATAGGATAGCTATACCTATATTTTAAAATACTTACATCCTTCAAAGTGATAATGTTGGGATGTTGTCCATATCGCATCAAAATTTCAATTTCTTCTGAAGGATCTCTCTTACTTTTGTCAATGATCTAACAAATAAGAAGAGAAAAATCTTTGAGGGAATCAACTTATTTTCTTTTTCTAAAAATGAATGAATTTTTTTCCACTTCATATTTTAAAACAAGTTTGTAAAACCACAATAATGATGCTTATTATTATTTTAACACTTGAAAATATTCTATAACTAAAGCTTAACAGAAAAAAATAAGCCAGATCATGTTCTTTAATGTTATATTCCACTTATTTGAAGCTACACTTAATGATAATGTGGTCCAAATGTGACTGTAATTGTCGCAATTATTCAATCTTAATATACTACATCAAAATACAAATTATTCAAAAGCAAAGCATTCACAAAAAACACTATTCTTCCAAAATAAAAACATGGAGAGAAATGCAAGATAAAAATTAAGTCTTATAACTCTTCCTCCATATTTTATATTTCCTTTCTATACTGTTCCCGGCAGTTGGCCCCAGGGTTACAAGTGAGGAGAGACAACTCAGGGACGCCTGAAGTAGCAAGCGGGAAGAGCAGGAGAAAGGGGATTAAAAGCCAGGAAGCCAGAGAGAAGAGCAGTCAGCTGAAGGGATTAGGTGAGGAGAG